TCTCATTTTTAATTACTCTTCATTCCTTTTTCATTTTTGAAATCATTTTTTTCTTCATCATTTCCTTAATTGCTTCTCGTTCCTTTTTGCTTTTAAAATTACCTTTCCTTCCTTTCTCATTTCTAAATGATTTTTCATTTCTCTGTCACTCTTACAATTAGCTTTCTTTCCCTTTTCATTTTAAAGTCATCTTACGTCATTTTTTAAATTATTTTTTTGATTTTTTCCATCGTTTTCATTACTTTTTTAAGAATCTTTTTTCACTGCCTCCGTTATTTCTATTTCTCTGTTGTCACACCCCATCCAATCCTCTGTGTTAATGCCATCAACTGCTACAAACTCACATAAACCATCCCCACTCACCGACTTAATTAATCATAAATAAACGATGCCCCGAACGCACCTGGAATCTACAACGATCTACGCTAAAAAGGCACCCCAAAAAAAGGTAGAAAAGGGCAAAACTGGCACTCACGATCCAAATGCCGTCGTATTTGAGGCTGAGGGAGGCGTTGTGGGGGTTCTCATAGAGCTCCTGAAGTTCTGTGCTCCACCACTCCAGCGTGGAGTTGCGGAAGAAGTCGGGGAATGCAGCGTATGCACGGAAGAGCTGGGGAAGAGGAGAGGAGAATGGAGGGGAGGGGGAGAAGGGGATGAACTCAGTGGGTTCCAGCTGACTTAAAAACATCTGTGAAACTACAGAAACGTGAAATTTTGTATAAAAAGTTGGGATGAAAATTCGCACAGAGATTCGGGCAAAAATCTGCGCTGAAATTCATACGAAAATCTGTAAGGAAATTCATTAAAAAAAACACAAAAACACACACACAAAAAAACAAAAAAAACCCAGAAATTTGAACAAAAATCCATACAGGAATTCATACAAAAACCCATACGGAAATTTGGACAAAAATCTGTGCAGAAATTCATATGAAAATCCAAACAGAAATTTGGACACAAAGACAAACAGAAACTCAGACAGAAATCCATAGAGAAATTCGTACAAAAATCCATACAGAAATCTGTACAAAAATATCTACAGGAATTCATACAAAAATCCAAACAGAAATTCAGACAAAAATCCATACAGAAATTCAGAAAAAATCTGTACAAAAATTCATACGAAAAAACAAAAAATGCACAGAAATTTGGACAAAAATCCGTGCAGAAATTTGGACAAAAATCTGTAGAGAAATTCTACAAAAATCCATACAGAAATTTGGACAAAAATCCATACAGGAATTCATATAAAAATCTGTTCAAAAAATTCATACAAAAAAACAAACAAACAAACAAACAAAAAAAACCCAGGAATTTGGACAAAAATCCATACAGAAATTCATACAAAAATCCATAGAGAAATCCATACAAAAACCCATACAGAAATTTGGACAAAAATCTGTACAGAAATTCATACAAAAATCCAAACAGAAATTCAGACAAAAATCTGTATGGAAATTCATATAAAAATCCAAACAGAAAATTGGACAAAAATCTGTACAGAAATTCAGATAAAAAATCTGTATGGAAATTCATACAAAAATCCAAACAGAAATTTGTATAAAAATCTGTGCAGAAATCTGTATAAAAACTCGTGCAGAAATCTGTACCAAAATTTATACAAAAAATTCACACAGAAATTCACATTAAAAAAAGTATAAAAATTCCATGATGTGTCATCAAAGATGTCTTTAAATTGTGTTTGAATTGCATAAAAAACGAATTGCGATGCGAAAGATCTGAGTAAAATTTCAATAAAATTGGATAAAAGTTAAATGCCATTGATTTGTATAAGAAAGGCATTAAATAGTACGAAATTTGCATTAATATGGATTAACATTTGCAATAAAATGAAGCAGAACTGGATAAAAATTGCGTGATTTAAAAAAAAAATTGTATTAAAACGCATTTAAATTGCATTAAAATAATATAAACTAAAATAATATATATATTGGAGAGGAATAAAGTTTGTATTAAGAGGTACTAAAATTGCATAGAAATTGTTTTAATAATGGCGTAAAAATTTGTTCAGACTTTGCATAAAAATTACACTGAAATTGCACCAAAACTGCATTATACTGTATAAAATTGCAGTAAAATAGATGGTATAAAATCTGTATTCGTGTGTAACAAGATTTGGATTAAAATGCATTAGAATTGCCTAAAGGTTGTTTAAAAATGACATAAAAAAAATTGCGTAGACGTTGATTAAAAAATCCCACCCAAATTGCATCAAAATTATATTAAAAGTTGCATTAAAATTTTAAAAAACTGCATTAAAATTGTAGGGAAAAAAAGGGCAGATTTTGCCTCTCACACCCTCAATATTTTTTGCTGTTTTTTGCACTTTCTGCCCCCCAAAAAACCTGAGCTTCTGCATTCTGCTTCTAATTGCACCGCTGCTCACCTCTACTCCCGTGTCCCAGTCAACGGAATCATTGACCACTATGTTGGGAAAATCTGGCCAGACCTAAAAAGAGGAAAAATGCGTTCAGATCATAATTTTATTTCTATTTACATGAACGATATTCTTATTACACGACGCAAGAAATTAAGATTTGCTGCTAAATTTCGGTGGCGAAAAAGGAAAATGAATGTTCCTCAGTTGGAAGCTCTCGGTATTGGATGTTAAGGGGGGGAGGGGGTGTAGGGTGGGTTTAACCTAAAACTTGAGTCTGGAATTGGAATTTTGGGGTTAAATTCCCCGATTTGGTCATGATGGTGATACCTTCCCAAGGATGATGTCCTCGGAGTTGGGCCACTTGATGAAGACATCCTTCTCCCTTCCCCTCGTGAAAGCCAGATAATCGGTTTCGTTTGCTGATATGGCCGGGTCCTGGGGAGGGCAGTGTGTGGGGAGAGGTTGGGAAAAAAAAAAAATCAAGTCATTTTTTGGGGCTCAAAAGACAGAAATGTGAATTATGGTGGGGTTGGAAACAACGCTCACCAGAATGGGGATGTATCTCATTCCTTCTGCACGGATTTTATTGATGAGCTCCGGCAGACCGGAAAAGCGTGGGTTCAGCTTGAAGTCCAACTGGCGTTCCAGGTAATCAATGTCCGTGTATTGCACGTCCTGATTAAACAAAAGCAACCCCCAAAAAGGATTTTTTGGGGTCGTTTCCTCCATGGTGTCAAAAGGAGGTGAAAAATCTGACTTTTCGGAATCACGCGAGCGGGATTTGGGGCGGCTCAAAAATGTTTTCCAGTGGATGCACTCAGATTTCCCACTCTGGAATTTGGATTCAGAGTGCAGAAATTGAGCAGAATTTGGTGCTTGGGTCAAAATTCAGTTATTTGAGAGGAAAAAAAAAAAAGAAAACAAAAAACGGATATGTGCAAATTTACATGGAAATACATCAATATATTCAACGCTCCATTTTTTTTTCCATTAATTTGAGATTAATTGTCTGCAAAATAAGAGCCAGGCTTAATTAAAGGGCAATTTTGTGGGGGGGAAAAAACAAAACAAAAAACCTATAGAGTGAATTATGGAAAAAAAGAATCGACTGCAGAATGAATTATGGGAAAATAAAATTATAGAGTTAATTGTGGAAAATGTTAAGTATAGGATTAATTAAGAAAAAGAAAGCTATCCATTAATAAGAGAGAATTTTAACTGTAAAATTAATCACGGTGTTTTTAAATTATGGAACGAATTGTGGAAAGTTTTAACCATTGAATGAATTATGGAGAAAATGAGCTATAGAATCAATTATGGAAAAACACCTACAGAATAAATTAGGGAAAAAAATTAGCCGTGCAATTAATTATGAAAAAAATAAACTGTAGAGTAAATGATGATTTTTTTTTTTTTTTTTTTGCCTATAGAAGTAATTATAGAAAAAAAAATAACTATAGAAGTAATTACGAAAAAATTTAAGTAAAAAAATAATTATGGAAATATTTAACTATAGAATTAATAACGGCAAATTTTAACTATGGAATGAATTATGGGGAGATTTAACACCAGAGTGAATTGTGGAACTTTTAACTACAGAATGAATGATGGGAAAAAAATGACTATATAAATAATTGTGGAATTTTTTAACTGTTGAATGAGTTACTGAAAAAAAAAAAAGAACTAACTATAGAATTAATTATTGAAAATGTTTAAAAAAAATTACGCAATAGAATGAATTACAGTTTTTCATTCACCGTTTTTAAGTTACACAGCGCCAAAGGAGCTGGAAAGTCCCCCATTTTTCCCAAACTTGCCCAAATTTTGGAAGACATACGTAAGGTATTTGGGCTGCTTTCATGTCCTCCACCAACTGGGCAATTTCGGAGTCGTTCTCATAGCCATAGCGGCACAGCTGGAAGCCCAGCGCCCAGTAGGGTGGCATCACTGGTCGCCCCACCAGCTGCAAATGAATGAAAATGAATGAAAATGAATGAAAATGAAGCAACAGACCCCCAATTTTTTTTTTTTTTTTTTTTTT